GTAAAGTATATATATATATATATATATATATATATGTATATCTACATATGATATAATACCATTCATTTTACCGTTAATGAATCGAATAATCAAAGTAAATGCTGGGGGCCGTATCTTTCAAACATATTTGTCAACGCTGCTACGCTTTCCGGAAACAAAATTTGCCAATTTTTTTTTACCAGCCCAAATTGAGGCCACAGGGAAGGCCTACAAGCACAAACATGATGAACAGAATGCATCAAGCGATGAAATTTTTCTGGATGTCAATCCAGACGTTTTTGACCTTGTGCTGAACTTTTTGCGCACAAATATTATGCGCTTGCCCACTCACAATGACGCCTTGCGTTCAGATCTTGTATTTCATCTGAACATGTGGGACCTCATGCCGCACGCGTTTCCGCCCCTGCAGGTTGCAGATGGGGAAGGGGATGCATCAGAGGAGGCCCGATCAATGGTGGTTCTTCCAGATGTATGTGTAGTTCAGCTATGCGACCACCTGTACCACGATCAGGGGGTTAAGCGCCACGCCCTGACCATTACATATGGCGCCGATGGATTTCAACTCCGCGGTCTGACACAATCTATCCGCCGCGACCTAACTCAGCAGCTCTCTTCGACGTTTTGGCAGTGCTACCAAACAAACGAACGCGCCGCGTTCTTCACGACTACAAAAATTGCCAACGGTGCGGCTGATCTTTTGACCACATCCGTAACCCAGCAAGTGATTCAGCACACAGAGCAGTTGGGCTACCATCTGACGAGCTCGTACATCACCCTTAGCCCAGATGTTGTTCATGTGAGTGTTCGAATGCTTATTCACAACCTAATTTTCCGGCGCACACGCCTACCTTATTTAGAACCCTCTGACGGAGTCAACCTCTTAGACGACGCGGATGGAGAGGGGGTTCTGGAGACTTTTAGGAACTTTGAGCCCAGAAGTGTGGGACCAAATAAAGTCTCATGGGAAAACTCTCGTCCACCAGAATCCGACCGTGTAGGTGATATATAAAATCGTAAATTACTTCCTAAGGGAAATTACTAAACGTGCGCATCAATGTTATGAAACATTATAATCCACAAAGAATCTTTAGAAGATGAAAAATGACTTTTGACTAGCTACATCTATGCTTGAGTTCTTTAAACAAATGACCCCCACTTACATTGATTCATTCTCAAGGACACCAGATCTCCGCACGAAGGTTTGCCACAAAGTGAATACTAGAAGCTTTTCATATCAATAATGTTCGGAAACTGTATCTACAATCTTTAATCCTCCTCCCACTCCCACCCTATTTCGATCTCTCTTTACAACCCTTTGTCTTACCCTTCGTCAGCCTTGCCTTTTATCCGCACCTACCTACCGTCTGACCCTTCACTCTTACCCTTTCCCCGTGCCGTCTCGAGGAGCGCGATGCTGCTGATGTCCAGCGCTCGCGCTAACTCCACGGTGACGCTCTTGAGGGGTCGCGCCTTGACGCTTTGTTTGGCCGTGAGCTCGGGCACGGCGGTACGAAGTCCCCATCTCCCAACCCGGCTCACGTGGACCACTGCGGGGGCTTTTCGTTTGCATCTCGCGCTTTACCGCATATTTTACACCTGTGGGCAGACGTCTTGTATCCGGTGAAGTCCGCCGCAATATCACGGCTGCCTTCGATCATTTTAACTACGACACCCAATGGTGCTACTGGGCCACTGACCTCGAGGTAATCTGCCAGTGCTCGAGCCGTCTCGATGGTGGGGTTATACACTGCGCGCATGAGCTTGGCCGGGATGGTTCCGGCCTGTGGCAGCCGTGTGACAATGTCCTCAACGGCGGAGAACGAGCACGTCTTGCCGAGGTTAGGGATACCGCCCATGACGACTCTTAAGTAGCGCAGGTACATGTTTTTGTTGCAGTGTTTCTCCCGGATGTGGTGTATCGCGTGCACTTCGGTAATCTTATGGTGGTAACAGCCCGGCCGCGGGCAATAGAACGTGTCGCTTCTCATTGGGTGTATGTACTGAGGTTCCTTCTTTAGAGCTTTGTTTATTGCTGCATGAGTTTGATTTCTTCCGCTATGGCTTCGCAATACATCTTATCTGCCTAAATGGTTAGTTCGAATTCCTCCAATCCCGCTGTGTACTGAGTTGCAGCGATGGGTGCTTGGCTTGGTACCTTCTACAGAAGGTTCTGGGACCGGCTCGCCCTGGGCTGCCGGCCTTCGTCTCTTGGCTTGGTAAGTGCAGTGAACGACTTCTCCGAGTCTGGCTGTAGTCTTCCCACTAGAAATGGTGTCTTCGTCCCTTGCTCAGGCCCTTTGGCCATGATGAAGAGTGTTTGAACCTACCTTTGTGGCGAGTTGGAAATTGTTCCTCCTGTTGGGGATGGAACCTGTCTCCATCCTTCTGCCGTGTCAACTCAGGGGTTTCTCGTTTCACCGTTTCTTCCTTCACATACGCTGTGGTCGTACTGTACTGTACTTTTTTGTTATAAGCTGGGGGCGAATTTAGTTTGAATCCAGTGGTTCCTAAAACTCGACTTCGAAACATACCTGGATGTGTTGAGGAGAAATTATAGGGGGAACAATGCGAACTCCCTTGCTGCTTCAATCAGCTCCAATGACCTTTCCTTGCTTTCGGCTGCCGACACAATCATCCAATACCCATGCCATACCGAGGAGCTTCTTGTAGTTCTTTGCGTCGTGGATTGATCTTCTAGAATTACTTGAGCATACTAAACACTATCGCAAGTCGAATATACTAGGTCTATCTTAGACCTAATAGATAAGCTCAATATTTGCCTTAATGGAATTTTAATATATAACACTAAATTATCTAGTCCTTCTCGGTCAAGAAAATCTAGAATATAGATCGAAAAAGTACTAAGTGAAGCTTCCCATATATAACAAACCACTGTAGAGAGAATAAAATATGCAGTAGATATGCTACATCATTCAAAAGTCGTATTTTTAACCTCCTCATTTCAATCATCCACGTTTCACAACACAGACACAGACACAACATCGCCCAGTTTATTCGAGACTTTCCGCCAGTGTCGCACCACCCTCTAGCATTAATTAATTTGATATCCAGTGTTTTAA